GGTATTTACCTCACTAACTAGGAAAACTGCAGGAAAACCTAATTCGGAGTAGCCGGCAGAATGCTCGAAACTGGTCTAAGGTAATTTCCATCTCTGGCACAGATGACAAATTCACCTCAACCCAGGTTCGAACACTCGACCTCCGGATTTATAACTCAACGCTCTACCATTGAGCCATAATGCCGGGCTTATTGTACGACACCCAGTCCGTTTGCAGGTAGAGACAGTGCTTACCCAAAAGTGACAACATCAATAAATTCTTTAATATATACGGGACACAGTGACCCTCATGATAAACGAGGGTATGCATCAAGAGCCTTGAAACGTCGGTAGCCTTTCGACCCTGGAAACTTACGGCCAATACCGTAATTCCAATTTGATAGAGAAGGTCTTCCAACGACGAAACAGCCAACAGGTATCCTTCTATGAGATAAGAAGCCTTGAAACGCGAACCTACTCAACCTCGAGTAATATACTGCCACTCAATAAATTAGATAATCCAACACGGTAAGCGTCAATGTCATGTCAACACCGGCTTTAGAAATGCGACGGAAGTATTATACTACTTAAGTGAAATTCTGTCCATTCTTCTAGTTTTCAGGGACACAGAATTTAATTTCGCGTGTTTAAAAACTTCCACTATTGTTACTATTTAACGTAGTTTCTAAACAGTAAAGAATCCCTTCAACACGTATTTGGCATTAGCATGAAGTTTTTCTGCAAAAAAATGCACTCTCTCGATCAATAGTGTCGTACCATCAATCCCTGTGCTAATTTTACAGGTAGTTTACTTAACTGCGCTGGTGGCCCATGACGAATTTATCTTCTCAAACTGTAATAACGATGTGTTAGTCGCTTTTGAGTGATTCATCTACTCATTCTTAGAGGGGGCGCGGCCCCCCTTGTGTAAAAAATGAGGGGGCGAGTCGCCCCTCTGACCTATACTTTCGACGTCGCTGCGTGCCATTGTCTCTTTTTTTAAAGTTTTGCTCATGTTTATAGATCTTAGATTTTATTTTAATGGTACAAGGCAACATATAATCAATAATCGCAATTCCCAGTTAAAATTAATTCAGTTTTGCAGAAAACCAGGTGTCAAATTCTTGACAGAATAGCTTCCTAGCTGAAACCAGAAATTGCCAACATATGTACGTACATACAGACGGAAAAAATAAGAAAGGTGCATTTTTTACGCATGCATTTTGTTTGCTTTTATTAGAGGGACCTACCATCCAATTTTCGTTAAAATTGCTCCATAAATAAGAAAGTTGGATGTTGCACATGCGCAACTCGATTTTTTGCGCATGCATTTTGTTTTCTTTTATTAGGAGGACCTACCATTCAAATTTCGTTTTAATTGTTCCATAAATAAGAAAATTGCATTTCTGCGCATGCGCAACACGATTTTTGCGCATGAATTTTGTTTGCTTTTATTAAAGGGACTTACCATAAAATTTTCGTTTAAATTGCTCCATAAATAAGAAAGTTGGATGTTGCACATGCGCAACTCCATTTTTTGCGCATGCATTTTGTTTTCTTTTATTAGGAGGACCTACCATCCAAATTTCGTTTTAATTGTTCCATAAATAAGAAAATTGCATTTCTGCGCATGCGCAACACGATTTTTGCCCATGAATTTTGTTTGCTTTTATTAAAGGGACTTGCCATAGAAATTTCGTTTAAATTGCTTCAAAAACAAGATCGTTGCGTTTTGCACATATGCAACACAATTTTTTGACTTTGACAATTTTTTTCTCCGTTTTTTGATAATATAACCCGGCCCAATTTTTTGTAGGTTGTACACAGAAAAATAAGGTCTTCCAAATAATAGAATAAAAATTTTAGGTTGCTATTTGAAAAAAAAAAGTTCGATGCCGTTACGGCGCTCCAAAATTTTTTTTCAAAAATTCGGCCCGTTATTTTTCTGTTCGGTATGCCTAAAACATATATACAAAATTTCAACAAAATCCGTCGAGCCGTTTTCTCAGAAAATTGCCAACAAACGTACGTACGTACATACAGACGGAAAAAATTTTATTCTTTAAAAGTTGCTTAAAATGGTCTAAAACGTCGACATTTGATGAAATTTTGAAATGTTCAAAAAACGGCTATCGCAATAGCTACCTAGCACATGCTAGGAAGCTAAAAATTGTAACTTTAAACTTTGACATATTTTTACGC